CTTTGTGGCGATTAGTCCATCCAAGGATTTAGAAGTATTAGCGTTAAACCCAGACTCCAAGAGGTTACCTGTATCATATTTCCTCGTCTGCTGTACCGGGGTACTAGTTACCCCCGAGGGCCTGAAAAAAAATACGCGGCAGGAATACCCCGAGTTTTCCCGCATGGCCGAGTTCTCCCCCGCTGAAAATCACGACCTGGGTGGACCGATCCTCCATCAGACAAGGAGTAGTATTGCCCGTCAGGTGGGTACTTCCGTTGGCCACAATAAAGCAACCTTGTCATTGCTAGATCCCCGTCGATTGTGTCCCCTCGCTGAGAGGGGTCCGACCGGTCTCTCAGCTCTCGGGGGTGTTCTGATGTCAGACTGTCGGGAAACAGCTAGATCGTGTGGAGTGGTGCAATAACTACCAGGATCGGGGTGTTGCTACTCCTGCTAAGTGGGGCTTGTCAGGATCCAGGGAAATTCGCCCCATCGCAATTGGGTCAGATGAATCATGTATAATCACTCGAAGTCAAGCACCGATAGAACCTTGGCAACATTGGGAATATCAATCAACTTTTGTTTGGTGCCAACCAACTTTTCCACCGGTACGGCAGTGTTTTTTAAGCATACTAGCCATCACCCATAGCCCTGATACATAAAAGGAGCGAACGGGATGGTACAAAAAGGAGTGAGCATATTAAAGCAAGTAGAATGGGTGGCAAAAGATGAATTTCTAAATGTAAATAGAAAACGACAAAAGGAAAAAAGACACCCTGTCTGGCCCTTCCCCTCTCCCAGCCCCACCCCCAACATTACCCCACAGGTGCTTAATATCCGAGGCCACGTCTTCCGTTGCGTCCGCCTTTATTGCAAGGGCGACGATAGCCAGAGCCGTAGTCAGCGCCGCAATTATCATTCTGGTTGTCGTTGACATTGGTATTCTCATTCTCCAAGAAGTCCTCGAAGAGCGCCATATCCTTGTTCTGGACCTCCGCCAGAGCGGCCGACTCCTGCTGGGCGCTATTCTCGTTAGCGTTGAAGTTTGCGACTTCGACGCCAAGCTCGTTCTTGTTGGCGTTGGCGACCTCAATGTTGTTCTCGGTAGCGAGGAGATTGCGATTGTCGGACTCCAGAGAGCCGAAACCGAAGGCTTCGCCACCCTTCGCGAGATTGGCGTTCTCGTTCGCGTTCTCGGACTTGGCACCCGCGAGGTTCTCGTTCGAATTCGCGTTATCGTTTTCCGAGGCGGAGATGGCAGCGTCGTACTCTTGCTGGCGCTCATAGGCGTTCTTGAACTGCGGCTTGGCGGCCACGTACGGGTAGTAGTTCTGGTGATAGCCGTTGGAGTTGGGGTAGTAGGTTTGGTAGTATTCTTTTGGCTGGTATGTTGGGTAGGCACGCCGGTTGAGTTGCGCGGGGGAGGGGCTGGGAATATCATTAGTTGAGACGATGCTTGGAGGGTGTGGGTTAAGGGATACGTACGCAGCGGAAGCCGCGGCCAGCAGGGAGGCAATGAGTGCGGCAGTAGAATACTGCATCTTTTTAAAATTCCAAGTAAAGAGCGTGTTCAGAGGTATTGAATGAATGTATTCTCAATAAAATTGAGGTTGGTATGTAAACAGTGATGGCTCCGGTGGTGGTTCCTTCAGAGACCGGATTCTCTGGTTTCTTATACAGCCCGGCCCATCCCTCCTCCTCCCCCGCGTCTGATGTAATTCGTCGTGTTTATTTGATCCACAATCATTGACTCGTTGGTGAATCGCCAGTGATGCAACCCGAGAAACGGTTGAAGGGGCTTGAGTGGACCGGCTCCGGGGGCCAGAACTAGCTGCTCTCGTGGCCATGTTGAAGCCGGACACTCTGTCTGGGAGTAGCCCATTTAAGTGTCCGGTTTCAACCCGGCCGCGGGAGCAGTGAAACTAGAAGGTCCCGTTGGAGTATAGACCGCCTCTTATTTTAGCTATGAGGTTTTGGCTGCAAAGCTCAAGTGCACCGATATGATCTCAGGCTCCCCGAATCCCCCAACTCCCCTTAACTTCCTTCCAAGTTGCCACTGAATGAGATGCCCGCCAGCGGCCCGCACCATTTTCCGGGTGTAGATCAATTCGGTCATCGAAGGTAGCTCGCTGTCTATCCCTCTTACCGAGGGACTATCATTTTAGCTTCCCATCAATTCTCACGAGATACATCACACCTTATACATCCATTGGTGTTGAATTTTTTGGGTCCCTCAGAGCTAAACTGGAGCAAAGTGTCATCATGACCGTTCGGGCAATATCTATCCTAATGAAGCACCACTTCCGGTACTACTCAACCATCTTTGAGAATTTTTGATACAATGGACAAGAGACACTTTTGCAGAATTTATTTAACCAAGAAAAGTAAAAGTACGAGAAGAGACTAAGAGAGTAAGGCGTAAAAATACGTTGAGCTCTAGAAAACCCCAAAATACTCCTGGACCATACCCACTTGCGTTGGGCATATGGAGCAGTTTTAAAGCGACCTAATCCTTCAGACCTAGTCCCGCCATCACCTCGCCATCAACCACCTAGTAACGACACTCCCACAAGTTACAACCGGAGAAACTCACGAAAAATCACTCATCACTTCCCCCCGAAAACAGACCAAACCCCGCCACCCTTTTTCCTCCTGTTTCCCAATTTCGGAATCATATTCTCCGTAATGTACCTCTCGGTCTCGGGGTCGAGCTCATCAGAGAACTTCTTTGTTCCGCTCTCGTCGGTGTAAACATGGAAATTGGTAGTGCCCCCTCCAGCACCCTTCTGGACACCTCCAACGTTGACGTGGTAGCGCATGGCATTTTCCTCTGTTGATCCCTCACAGGCGCCGCCAGTAGGTTCACTCTTCTGGGCTGTCACCCTTTCATTTGTAGGGGGCACTCCGGTGGCTGGCTCCGCTGCACCCTTCGGAGCAGGAAGCCTCTCCGTAAGGGGAGGTTTCGGCCTCCGCTTCCGTGCAGCTTCTTCTGCTATAGCCGCATCAGCAGCCTTTGCCGGTGGAGGTGGTGGTCTGACGGGGGAAGGCACAGCTTGGCTAACGCGGGGATGTGGTGCATAAGGACGAAAGGGAGGACTATTGACGGTGGGAGGAGGAGGTCCGTAGGTAGGCACATAGTTAGGAGGTCCACCGTGCGGGGGAAGTGGCTCCGGCTTTGCCTCGGGTGGATGCATGGGTCCCCCCGGGTTCCCCGGCGCATATGGAGTCGGTGTACTCGGTGGGGGTAGAGGACCATAGTAAGGTTGCGGGTCGCAGGGGTATCGTGGTGGTGCTTGGACTGCGTAGTGGCCGTAAGGCCTATTGTCCGGAGGATCACAAGGCTGCTCGGGGAGGAAAAACCCACCCCACTGGTCTTGATATTGGGGTACAGGAAAGGCGAGTCCAATTGAAGCCACCAAGACAAGGCCGAGGCCGAAGAATATTGGGACTATCATGAGGGCAGGTGGTAAACGGCGGTGGTGGAAATTTTGACAAGATGGATTTCCTCAGGGCCCTCCGCCCGTGCAGGAACCTTCTGAATTTAAGTAACTTTTCAATATTTCCTTCATTCGCCGTTGCCCCAATTTAACGCTATGCTTTTAACTCTCCTCAAATTCTCTAGCGCATATCGAGCCCCCGATTTTTTAGGCCCCTTCACACATAATTCAGAGGTAAACAGGCATGTTCACTAGAGATAGCCCGACTAAAGATAATTAGGTATAGCACCGCCGATGAAGGCATTACAGAACTTCAACCAATTAATACAGTATATGATAATGGACCTTTTGGTCGCAAAAGAATCACAGCCCATACCTTTAGACCGGAACAAACCAAATCTTTTAAAACAGGGCGCGGAAACATAATTATATATCTCCCATATAATCGCACTCCTTGAGCAGTCAACAGAGGAGCAATTGACACCAACTCCCGAAATACCGGTAGCACGGTAAACCGTTTAGATTCGGGACTCCTCCCCTCAGTTGCGGCCACCGCGGGAGTCAATTTCCGACAACGAGATGAGGGGTAACGCGACCGCGGGATGGTTCTCATGATAAAAGATTTCGTCATGATCCCGCAACACCTCCTCCGTCAACGGCTAGATGAAGATAGGCAGGGGGTGAAGTGAAGAAATCGCAATGACCAGGCTAAGACCCCGCGCCGAACAATGGAAACAGGACGCCTATCGACATCGTGGTTTGGAAGGAGAAAAAATGTATCGTACGAGTACGTCAACCCTAGGGGGCGTTCGGCGTGCCGCGATAATGATCTCAAGTCGTGTTTTCGGCGATTTGAAATCGCATGTTAAAACCCTGAAATCACGATAGTCTACTCGTGGCAGGAGGGGAAGTACCCGATAACAGAGAACTCGCAAAATACTCTAGTATGTGGCGAAGAATCCGTGCGTGTACAGTACCGGTGTCTGGACGCCCATACAATTCACCACCGGTACAAGTACTGTACAGTACCCCCGTGATCCAACACTCCCAGCTTGCCCCGAGTAGCCCCAAAAAATTCGAACCCGAGATGGCGCCGAGCCAAACATTATCAATTTCATTGTGGTTATGATCATGTCATTATGATTTTAATTTTTATATAATATTATATTGTATTAATAATACAGTTATCAGTTCAGTTGAGCCCTTACAGTAATTATAAACCCAAATCACGTTATAGTTTTGAAATCACGATTTCCAATTGGCGCGCCAGAGACTTTCTAATTTGGAGACGCGATTTGAGAGGAAAAAAAATTCCTTTCCAAACCATGCCCGCGGCGCACACTAGGAATACCAAGAAACGCAACGTCGGGTTCGGGGGGGACGCCAGAGACCACCGGGCAACTTTCACTTCTCCGTCTTGAACCTTGAAAGGGAGTGATGCTGTACTGTACCATATCGCACCTTCACCTAGTACGGTATGTCGGATGTCACATCTTCCAACCCGAAGTAAGCAGGAAAAATACTATTAGATTCAGAATCGTTGTTTTATTCGCCATACTCATGGAAATCCTAGCTAACTTCCTAAGCAACAACAGCAGAGAATTCCGAAACGGTAAATTTAGCATTGCTTCCCGAGGTGGGCTCAGTCCCTGCTTGAAATTCTGTAGAGACATCAGCATAAATCTTAGATGGGTCAATTTCAACCCTTTGGACGACTTACTGTTAAGATATTGCGAAGTTGGGAGTGCATAGTTATCCGCGAGATATGCCAGAAATAACTTGACATCGCAAGAGAAGCGGGTAATCGGTGAGTCAACGGCCACGAACGAGTAGACGTGCATGTTGGAATTGTATCCGTCATAAAGTTTCCATCGGTATCCCGCGATGGTTGGAGCAGCAATGGGGCTACCGGTAGAGCTGATAGGTCCCTGCTTCACTGAGCGATGGCGGAACAAAAGGGTAGGCAATCAAGTACTTACTGCGCCACCATAGGCTGCAAGCCAGATCATGACTTCATATTCGCAGATATCACTCCCAGCGGTCTTGCTAGTGAACAGGTCATAGGCAACGTTTGCGACGGCCCCCGTCGTGCCGGTATATCTAGGCTGGGTGAGAATGAAGATCACGCAGGGGAAGAAGGAGTACCGACGAGTATTTCATGGTGCTTTTCATGGACCTAATATTCGCTACGGTCTTGGGGGTGAAAACAAGGTTTGCATTGGGAAAACTCTTGATATTGCTTGAAGGCGTTAGTTCTGGAGATTATAATTCAAAATGTCGCACAAAACTTACGCATGGCCGCTTGTCCAAGACCAGGTGGTATGCCATGCAACACTCTTCCCGCTGGCAGAGTCAAGACCTGTGCACTGTGACCCGGAGGTTGCAGAATTCACCCCCCACAAGTTATTGTAGATGATGTAGTTGTTGGAAGTAGTTACAGAATCCCTGAGGCAGTTTTAGCAGAAGAAATCGAGCAGTAAATCCGGAAACCAACCATTGACCACAAAAGTCAGCAGCAAGAGCTGCGCAAGCGTTAAAGAGTATAGAAGCAATGATAGAGAACTTCATGATGAGCCGTATTTGGTAGACAGAATTCACCACTCTCTAAACTCTCACAATCTGATGAGTTTCGGAGGTTTCTTGTACCTCTTTGTTCAATCGGCGGCGAACACGTCCTATATATTGCAAACAGTGACTTGTACGAAATGCTCCTTTTCTTTTCCATAACCATTGGAGGCCTTCCACAGAACTTCTAACCCCTACTAGGCCCCATCTGATACAAGTACAAGTACCGTAAGAACTCTTGGAATCCACTATCTCCGTCACCCCGTCACCTCGTGATGGGTTTAGTTCGGCAGCTTAACAGAACTGCGAATACCAGTTAAAGAGATCCAAAAATCTAGAGGGCTGATCTTATACTTATCAAGAAAAACGCTAACCCTCCCCAGGGCCCCCCCCTCACTATACGGAGATTACAGGGCTACGGACAGAGTGGATTCCAAGAGCTTCCCCGGCACCCATTAAGCGCTCAACCCCGAATCCGACTCCCTCACCATTCCTCTCACCGCAACTACCGCTACTCTAAACCAAATGGAGCTGGAGACCCCAATACAAACGGATCCTTCCCCGAACGTCCAAGCCGAAGTCCTCAACCTAAGCAACTGCGCCTGAGGTTTGTACTCATTCCCGAGCACTTAGTGAATACACGGTGCGAAATTGCTAGGATACTGCCCACTCCACCCATTGGAGTCGGAAGTGAAGTTCTCGATGCTCTTCACCATCGAAGATACGGAGTAGGTGAGGCACCCGATCCATCTGCCTGAAGGAATTTTCCATACGCAGTTCCTGTGGAGAGTTGCGTTCCTTCAATGGCGAACACAATATTGTCTCTTCCGTTTAACACATCGAAAACTACCGTATTCTATCTATATTTTCACTACCGTGCCTCTGACATGACAGTTTATCACAGATCCCCCGTACCCTGCCAGGAACTGCTTCCCCACAGGTATGAAGTGCGGGTTAAATATCATCTTTGAGCAAGAGATCCGAAATGCGCAAGCCACTGGAGCGAACGTGCTACATTATCACATGGTTTTTTCCGAAAAGCAGAAACGGAGCTGTAATCACTAAGGTTTGACAGAAGTATGCTTGTGACAAGCAGAACCCGAAAAAAATACCATGGTTTCGCAATTTGTACTGATTTAACAACCTGTCCGGGAGCACCAACCGAATAAGACCATAGATTTCTTCTGGTCGCGCCATAGAAAGGGTCCTGTTTGTGGTGTGTTCTACTGTCCCGGAAGCAACGTGGTTGATGGTGGAGGTTTTTGAATTTTACCTCTAGAGGTAAAATTTCAAAGCTCGGGTTTGGGTGCTGCAAGCTTCAAATTTCCCGGTTTATCGCTGGCCTAACACTAGCTACCGGTATATTTCCAAAACCACAAGATCCGTCAAAACCACTATCATACTCGAGTACTTTCCGCCCTCGAGCAGCTGGTTTAACGGACCCCCTGAACAGTCCCTAAATTATTTGCACCTTTAGGCTAATCCTCTAGGCTTTGTACAATACTACCGGTAGTACAACTGAAAACTTTAGCACCAGTACTCGTACTCGAGTGGGCCAAACAACCCAGCTAGAAGCGAACATGGAAGAACGATGTTAGATTCTAGCGGATTGTGCAAGTATTGGCCCAACCTCCATGGCGGATGAGCCTTCAAACATGCTCATATTAGGGAATCGGAGTACTGTAGTATGCGCCACATGAGGTATTGTAAAGATCCCAAACTAAAAAAGCCCTAGCCCTGTCCCTTTCAGTCCCGGGCGACCTTGGGCCCTGCCTGTATTGTTCCAGGTATCATATACCGGCAGCCCACGCTTCCGGAGTAGGTGCTTGGTGCTTGAGTAACCGTCAAGGATTCGTACAGTATCTCTAGGGAGGGGTCAAAAGATAGCCTACCCGCCCTAGGCGAGAAGTATCGTACAAGTACTATACGAGCACCCTGAACACTGGTGATATATAAGTTTGTTTTTTGCCTGCACCCTATCATACAAGTACTATACCCACAGATTACGGCGGGGCATACGTACCAATCTTGCCGAAAACTGCCCTCCGCGAGGGGCAAGGCAGGAGACAGGGACATTAGATTTCTTGGCAAGAAAAATTGAAATAATAATATAGGAGTATCATAAAAATCTTGAAATGGGTGATGAAATACTTTATAGAAAACCCCCACTCAAACCTCTCCCCAACAACACTATTAAAGCTAGCGATATTGCAGCCCACCGTGGCTAGTAGTTTATAGTTGTTTCCAGAAACGACTATTCTCTAGAGTGTTTTGGAATAGAAAGGTGTAAAAAGGATTTTTTCTTTTTCTTCCTCTATCACACATACACGCGCTCCCCTCCCTAATAATACCGGTACAGTACGCAAGTACTTAATAAGACGAGTAGAGTGTGACATAGATTATTATAAGTGGCGATTGCCCCGCGATTCAAAAGCAACGATGGACCAGGGGCAAGCATTACCTCCTGCATTTGATTGAATCTACCCGACAGGTACTGTACGAGTACAGCACAGTACCACCCTATTACTCGTATTATTAGAGAGCAAAATAACCAGTGCACGTGCACTAGTAACATTACACATGCACTGTGCTCGAGTAGGAGTATGATACTACCGGTAGTACTAGTACAGAAGACAAATTCTAATGGTGTTACTCGTACCGCACCTTCGGCATTCTTTCTACCATGACTTTTCCTTCAGCTCGGTCGGCCGCAATCGCCACGCCAGGGATTAGTCGAGCGCTCAAATTGGAGAGGTTTCGGCCATGATAAGACACCGCGCGGATCCCCTGCAGGTATGATAAATAACAAGGGCAAAATTTAGTCTTTATAGAGCATCACGACACTACCAAGTGTTTGGCGAATTTTAATGAGGAAGGATTCACCCGCTACCTACGCCTCCACTTACCGAATCCCCAAAAGAAATCAATTCATACCCGCCGTAGCAAGTAAGAAGCATCCTAAATCGGGGGGGGGGGCGGGTTCGTGAATTTGTATGCGCGCCCCGATAGCCCCGAATTTTTGTCACAATGTACAATATTTTGCGAATCCCCCCCACCTTCGGTTCGCCCTCTCCACCTCAGGAGCAGGAGTTGGAATGAGCTCAGCCCGATGGACTGCGGTTCCGTGTGCCATTAGTACTCTACACCCCTCAGACCGGACGTTGATCAAACTTCAGTAACTGTAAACTGCGATGGGCTTAGCTGAGCAAGTTGACAAAAAACTACGAACAAAGGTCAATGAGATCCAGGAAGTTCAGCTCCCTCCGAGCCATACAGGTACAATACCGGGTCAATTAAACGCTGTTCCCTCTCGAGGGGTATGGTCTCTGACTGCCGAGATTAGACGCTTGACGGAGATGGTGGATTGTCCGAGTTTCTTTTTTTTTTTTTTTTTTTTGTGATGATACTGCCGGTGCCAGCAGCATGCTCTGTTTGGTCCCGGTTCCGCTCGAGATTTTGAGATTTAAAGCTGAGGTTTTCGAGAATCTACTTAGGATAGATGGGCTTTTTGGGCCTACCTCGTGATTCTTGCGGTTTACCGCAGAAATCACAAGAATTGGACAGAGCGATATGCCGTTGGCGTTACTTCCTCTGGCAAGTTTTGATCCTTTTTTTTGGGGGGGGGGCTCTCAGAGGTTTCTCAACGGATCTCCCCTTGCTGTGTTTTCCCTTCCCTCTTCCCGACTACACACAAGTACTGTACTGTACAAGTGTAGAACATGTCAAGTTTCAACAGTAGGCAGCAAAAGGTGGAATTTAGCATGGGGAATTCAATGACGGCTACTTCCAGGGTGATAGCAGATCAAGTCATGCGAAGCCCTCTTAGAACCGCCCTCTCATATATAGCTCTACCTCAACACCCCAACTAATCTCAGGGGAAAATCCGACAAGGACGAAATGACCAAAATCTCCCCTAAAAGTCGGTTATGATCTCCCCCTCTATTCAAGTACTGCACTCGTACGCTTGCAAGCTATAATCCCAACGAGAATCCGAAACTGCGGAACACACCCCGGACAACCCCCCACGACAACTGAGCTTATACTCGTATCCGGCAATAAGTATCTGAAAACCGGGGGCATAAGACCGGGGGGATGGCCAGGGTATGACAGGGATTGTGAATGGGATTAATCGGTATACACTTTGTGAATTGGAGGGTGTTTTGATGACTCTCTATCTATGTACATTCACCACCGTGTGTGTCCTCCTGAAGCGTTTATCACAGCTTCTATATGCTCTGGCATAGAATCAACATAGCCTAGTATCTCCTCCACTGTAAGACTCTCCCACTCCTCCAAAATAGTGGTTTTCAACTCTTGAATGCCTTTAGGACGAACAGAGCACTTGTTTAAGAATATACCAAATATTCTCAATCGGGTTCAAGTCTGGTGATGAAGGGGGTCAAACAAGAGAGGGTATCTGGTAATATTCCCAGGTAGCTTTAGTAAGTTTTGCTCGATGTGCTGAGGCTCCATCCTCCATGACCCAAATCTTTGTCTGCCAATGTCGAGCGTGATTTTCCCAATACCAAAATAGATACAAGACTGGTGTAAGTACATGATTAATATAAGCTTGTGATGTGATTGTACCCCAGTTTTCTTTCTCCCATAGGACCAGTGGTGTTTTCTTTCCTCCTAAAACTCCTCCCCAAATCATGACTGAGGTTTCTTGCTTAAACTTGGGCACAATACAGTCCTCTATGTATTCTTCGCCAGTGTAATGTGTTCGCAAGGTGCTAATCACGTTATCGGTAATAGATATGATAGTTGGCAGGTGGCCTGCTTTTCCAGAGAGGAGGCGAGAGCAGAAATGTAACATGTTCGCAAGGTGCTAATCACGTTATCGGTAAAGGATACGATAGTTGGCAGGTGGCCTGCTCTTCCAGAGAGGAGGCGAGAGCTGAGAACTAAAGGAGGCTTCGAGGGTGTACTGAGAAACAAAGAAGTAACCGTTCAACCAAGTATATTGAAATACTGTCTGTCAAAGTCTGCCCTTTCTATCGTAG